GGTTTACCATGCCATTGATTTCAGACAAGGGCATTTATGGTAATGTGATGGCCACATAAAAGCGCAAAGAGTCATCGTCTCCGCCTCCATCTCCATTCTCCACCCACACTGTCTCTCCTTCAGATCCAAATCCTAGTTCCATGGCCTCCCTCCTCACTCTCTAGCCACCCCCTCTGTCACCCTGCTCTGGACCCTAGGCGCCATTGGCACAGTAGCTCGACTCTCTAGCCGCACCCTCTCTGATACATTTTCGAACCCTAGCCTCGATGATGGTACAAGCTAGATCTAAATCCCCTACCTCGACACCTGCAATGACCGACCGATTCTGAACCCTAGACGGAGACAGATCTGTTACCCCTGCATCAACACTGGCCGCACTAGCTCTGCAACCACGATGACAAGATTGGATCTAAACACGGACACGAAGGAAGAGGTACCCAAATTCCTTTTATGATGTATGCTCTACTATAGAGGCTGAACCAAGGATATGTAGATAGCGATGAGGTTACATATTTTGTATAGTTGAGTGTAGCTGACTTGTGCTTTATTAGATTAATGACTTCCATATAAGCTATAGTTACATACTAGTTAGGTGCTTATTTGCATACTCTTGCTCTGTTGTGTTGACATTCCGTAGAACCTTTAGTTAATAAATGCCTTTGTAATATAGAAAGATGGAAAAACTTGGAATACGTGTGGGTCCAAAACCTATGTCTCCAAAGGCAAAAAAGTCAAACATAAAGGGTAGACACGGTGAAGATTTGGAATATATCCCTGAACCAGGGGATGTAGTTGAGGGATTTGATGTTACAAATGAAACATATTCAGATTTAGAAGATGAGCCAGTACCCCTAGCAATTGAGGTACTTGTTCTATCTTGTATTTAGTTCGGAGATGTATGTAGCAATGTAATTCTTTACTATTTAGATAGCAATGCAATTTGTACATGCTTGCTGCTTAAGTTTGTATCTCCAATTTTAGTGTCAGGGTTGAAGGAGCCATAGAGGAGGCTCTACCAGCAGGACAAAAGGTAGTGCTGCCATGAGTCCTGGGCGAAGGCACTCCAAGCGAGTGAATTCAACATGACAAGGAGAATTTTCTCATGGAGTTCGTACTCGAAGGGCTGCCGCTGGTAAAAGGGTGAAGGTATCAGCAGTAGGTGAACATAATTCTCTATCACATTGGACACCTGTACCTAGGGATAAATTCAAACTTCATGAATTAACTAGAGACATTTGTCGGGATGGCACCCTACCTAGCCCTGTGAGAGACTGCCCATGGCCAGATGATGATAGCCATGTCGAAGAGGACCCTCTGAGCTACCTAGTCCTGTGAGAGACTGCCCACGGCCAGATGATGATAGCCATGTCGAAGAGGAGCCCTTTGAGCTACCTAGCCCTATGATACATTGCCCATGGCCAGATAATGATAGCCATACTAAAGAGGAGCCCTCTGAGCAAACTCCCGTCTCCACCCACCCTCAGAATAATGAAAGTTGCTAGGTTGGTATTATCTTACAGATGTCTATCAATCAATTTGCACTAGCTATTTGATATCCATGTTACTTTTTTAACAATCTGAATGTATGAAAACTTTGTAGTACCATTGCCGAGAAGTGCGAGGAAGTTGAGGCCTCAACTCATGGAATTTTGCTTGACAAAATGAGCAAATCAATGGGAGGATTGATGATGCTCATCTCTGTTGCTGAGAGGAACAGATGGCCACATGATCCAGTGCAACCTACCAAGTTTGTCTTAGAGGCAGGTGTAGTAGTCAGCATCAAATACCAATTTTAACGCATTGGAAACATTACGTCCATTACAAAAATTTTGTTGAGAGGCTAACTATATGTATCGGTATCATCCCTTGACATTCAATTCTGCATTGAGCAACTTTAACGGATTTACTTATCATTCACACTACTACGTGCAGTCAAGGCTAGACATTGACAAGGTTCACCCACCAACACAAGAAGCTTGCTAGAATGTATTGCGGTGTGGGATACGGCTAGGCACGCTACAGGTTGAAGCAAACCTACTTCAATGGCGTCCTTACTGATTAGATCCGTATGACCTCTCCTGTCCCGTCCATGAGCGATGCATAGTGGTGTAAACTTGTCGAGACTTGGTCTAGTGCTAAGAACAAGGTGTGTATGAACTCATCGATTTCCTGTCTAGTCTTGCTATGGTCTACTTATGCTATAGTATAACACAAATGAAGCTATATGAAACAACTGAGACAAATAAGCGAAACCACGCAAAAGTGAAGTACCACTAGTCTACAGGTCTCGCTCCTATGTTGTCCAGCTGCAAACATTTGTAAGTGATGGTTATGTTTTATTGTTACTCTTGCCTTTGTATAAATATAAACAGAAACTCATGTGCAATGTGAATAGAAGGAGAACAAGAGGAAGGCCGCAGAACACGATCAAGGACTTGATGAACAACATGATGATTCAGGACTTGAACAACATGGTCGACCAGACGAAGATGTTAATGCTGTGGAAGTCTTCAAGGACTTTCATACCAGTACGAAAAGGGCCTAAGCGATGCTGCAAGAGCAGCAGTTGTAAGTACCTTCATTTACTTTTCTTGAAATCTAATGAACCCATTGCCATAAAAGAAAGAAACGCAACAGGAGTCTAATGTGGCAACATCATTTAATTTTGTAGTTTCAATTTTACACCAATCAATATGATACTTGTATATTGTGCTTATGTAATCTCTATCGGCAGTAGGCTATAAAAGACCTATGCATTGTGCTTATATAATCTCTATCAGCAGTAGGCTGAGGAAGTCCTATGCATTACATGTTATGAATTAATCTTTTAGGTTTTCAATTGAAGTCCTCTTTCACTATCTGTAACCTAATGTTTTACTGATTGAATTTCGCAGGAAGCTATGAAAGATATGCAAGCAGAACCTGTTGCTGATGGTCAGCAACCAATGACTAGTGCTGATGTTGTTTACAAGGTCCTCTGCCTCTCCCAGGGCAAGCCCCCCTCCCAGGTAAGTAGGAAAAACCTTTTTTGAAGAATGCTGGTATCCTGAGAAGCTCCACCAGAGCAGAGACATCGACGGAGATGACACTTCGAGAGTAGCTTGCTGGTGAACATGAAAGTATCGCTGCCCTCGTCGAACTAGTGGATGAACTGAAGAGGACGACAGAAGATTATGAGAGAGAGTTTGAGGAATTCAAGAAACGGCAATAGGAGTATAATAGGCTCTGTGAGCAAGTCATGCGATTAAGCTCTCCTGGTAATTAACTCTCAGTCTTCAACTCCTGCAGCTTGATGCGGTGAATATTTGTGGTCTGTTGTGTGGACTCATGTGATGGTTTGTTGTGGTGATACTCTGTCAGTGGCTTGCTACTGATGTGTGAAATGTTAATTATTGGTATTTGATTGCCAGCTTGAATAATTATGTTGTCAATCTGTGTAGTAGTGACGATCTCAAATTATTTTTCTGGTGTAATTAGTCCTGCACACGGTAGAACCAGGACATGCCACGTGATCAAATAAAAATACGACACGTGGACCAACCAGTGCATGACACGTGAATTGATCAGGGCACGACACGAGAGCTATTAAAAATCCGACACGTGGAAGAAAATCGTTAAGCCATGTGGACGTATAAAAATACGACACGTGGACGGACCACATCGTGACACGTGGTCAAAAAAGAAACGAACACGTGGACCAATAATAATACGACACGTGGTCCGATGAAGAAGCGACACGTGATCCAACGGCAACACGACTCGTGTGCCAATAGAAAACTGACATGTGGAATAACAGGGAACCTACACGTGGACCAATTAGAACCTGAAACGTGCAAGAACCAGAGATGGCCACGTTGTACAATAAGAATGTGACACGTACTCGAACCATCACCAATGCAACCGACTAAAGCATGTACATGTGGAAAGCATCTCCAACGAAAGCACCTACCAGTGTGGCAACTCCCCTGCCACACATGCCAAAATAGTTTTACGACGTTCTAGTTTTTCGTCATAGATCAAGTCACTTCTATGACGATTTGTGAAAACTATCATAAAAGTTTAAATGTGACACGACTTCTGTGACGAACCATTTTTTGTCATAAATTCGTTATAGAACTAAAATTATAACGAATTTGGCTCCTTCAGTGACGAAAGCTATTCGTCATATAAGTAGATATTTCTAATAGTGACAGGGTGCCCCAAGTGAGCCAATGGATTCTATTTTCCTTCTCTTGTTGAGCCCACCAAAATCTATTTATCATGCTCCTTATATCATCACATAATGACTTTGTTAGATCAAAACACAACATAGCGGATGTTAGGATCGTCTGGGCAATTGCCTTCATCAAAATATCCTTACCAGCGTGAGACAACAGTCTCTCTTTCCACCCTTGGATCCTTCTCTCCGTACACGGTCCTTCAAATATTTAAAAGTTTTCCTCTTAGAATAGCCCACGTACATATGGATAAACCAAAGGTACCTTTCGCTTCTAGCTTCAGTTGGAATATCGAGAATTGCCGTGAAACTTTCCCTTGCTGTACTTCTGGTGTTTCTACTAAACATTGTAGATGATTTTGTTCATTTATAATTTGCCCCGAGTATTTCTCTTTATTTATAACTTCGATTACTTTGCAAAAATTATTGGGTGTACAGTGTACACCCATGTCCTTTACTGGGTCCGCCACCTCGGACAGCATGCGGATAAGAACAGCCATGTTGGCCGCCACGCCATCGAACTGTCCACGTCGGCTTCCTCCGCTGCTTTAAAACCGGTCCCCTCCCCCTCGTCCTCTTTCCCCCGCCCCCGGAATTCATTCGCACCCAAAAAATCGAGCCGATCGAAAAAGATCAAAAAAACCCTAACCGCTGCGATCGAATCGAATCATCCAAGGCCCGCAGCAGCCCGACGAGGCCATGTCTCAGGCAACCGCCGCCATCCCCTCCCAAGATCGCTTCCCCTGGTGATACAACTCGTGCGCTCATTTCTTTGCGTTGGGATATGAGGGCCGCTACGGCCGATCCGCCCACGGCGCCGGCGAGGTCGATGTTGAAGCGGCTGTTCGATCGCCAGCTCCTGCGGATCTCGCCAGCGGATCGTCTACCGTCGGCAGGGGCGGGGGAGAAGGATGAGGCGGAGCCGAGCTCCGTGTGCCTGGACGGCATGGTGCGCAGCTTCATGGAGGACGGCGTCGGCGGCGAGAAGGCGGGTCACGGCGGGCGGTACTGCAACTGCTTCCACGGAGGCGATAATTCTGACGACGAGGAGGACGACGAGGCGGCGGCCTCCGACGTCGCCGAGACGATCAAGGTAGTAGCCACTTGATTCCCTAAACACACACCTGATCGATTCTCTTCTTCTTGAGAGAGAGAGAGAGAGAGAGACAGAGAGCGGCAAGTGATTTCTCTTCTAACCGTCTCGCTCGCGCTGCCGTGGTCGATCAGGGCCTCGTCCACTGCGCTACGCTTCGGGAGCGCAACCTCCTCGCCGACGTGTGCGCGCACCTGGAGCGGCACCGCGCGGCGGGTGCGCGCCGGCGCGACCTCCTCCGCCTGGTGGCCTCGTCGCTCCGCGCCGCGGGGCACGACGCCGCCGTGTGCGTCTCCCGCTGGGACAAGTCCCCGTCGCACCCGGCCGGCGAGCACGCGTACATCGACGTGCTCCTCCCGGCGGCCTCCGACCGCGGCGCGTGCGAGCGCGTCCTGGTGGACGCGGACTTCCGGTCGGCGTTCGAGGTGGCACGCCCCACCAAGGCGTACCGCGCCCTGCTGCAGTGCCTGCCGCCCGTGTTCGTGGGCAAGGACGACAGGCTCCGCCTCCTCGTCGCCGCCGCCGCCGACGCCGCCCGCACCAGCCTCAAGAAGCGCGGCCTCCACCTCCCGCCCTGGCGCAAGCCCGAGTACATGCGCGCCAAGTGGCTCTCCCCCTACGATCGCGAGGCGCCGCCGGCCGACGCCGCCGCGGCGGGCGAGGACGCCGAGGAGGAGGACGACGGGGAGGGACCCGGAACAGCCGCGTGACGACAGGACGCTCTTGCAATTTTTGTCTTGGAGGAGGGTCTAGCTGCAAAAGCTAGAAATCTCTTCAAATTTGCCGTAACTTTTTTATGGGTGGTACGTATTTTGGACTGCGATGTTAGAGAGGTTATTAGTACTGCGCGAAATTAAGGCGAGAGAGGTATGTAGTGTAGTGCTAGTTTTAGGAAGAGAAGTAATATCGGATTAGCATCCACTTTTGGTAATGATGTTTGTTTGTGTAGTCATGGAACTTGCCATGATATGATTTGATATTATTACATACTAAAATCCCAGTGAAAATTGCCAGTTGTCGGCTGTGGAAGCTTGCGCGCTCTCGGATTCTCAGAGCACCGCACAAATTACAAACTGAGTTTACCTGGACAAGAAAAAGTAGCCTGTCCTCGGAGTATTTCTTTGGTTTTTAACCGGAAGAGACTACGTTTTCTTTACTTCAATTCTCTTCGCTGAAAAAATAAGTCGAAATACCGCTCCGGCTGATTTATTGTGAGAAAAAAATATTATTTAACTAAAAAAACAAACTAAAAAATATGGATTATAAAAAAACGAACATAGCCTTAGCCTGCTTGGGGGATGTTGATTGAATGGAAGGACATCTTCTGGTTCTAACTGTTGTGCACGCAATGCTAACTGGATGCCTATATAGCAGTAAACAAACCCTGCCTGCCTGCCCATGAGATACTGTCTATTCGATTATAAAGGCCAATTGGGCGTTTGGAGAAGATGCAATTCTTCTGAATTCCAGATTAGGATGTTGAACTGTCGCCTGGCATATGCTCTGCAAGAAAAAATAATATTCTCCAACCTCTCTTGGTAGATAATAAATAAATAAATAGAAGAAAAATCCAAGGTGGTTGTACTGTGCAAGGCACCCAGACCCAGCCCCAGGTGCCGGTTGTTGCAAGGTAGTAAGGGAGACAGCCGCAAGTGGCTCCGTTCGCTTCGTAACAAAAGCAAACCGAAATATTATTTCGCCTGATTTATTATGATAGAAAAACATAATTTTAATTAAAAAAACAAACTAAAAAATATGGATTATAAAAGAAACGAGCAGTGCGTTTATCCCACGCCCATTCTGAAGGTTCCCTATAGTACTATCTCTGAAACCGAGAAAGAAAAAACGTCTGTGGATCGGATGGGGTCCCAAACTTTTTATAAATTTTGGTTAATGTTCGATTTGGGCGCCCAATCCAATCCAAATCTGAGGCCTTGTTTAGATTGACTCAAAATTCTAAGTTTTTTTTCTCTCTCTGTCACATAATTTTTAAACATATGTATGGAGTATTAAATGTAGGTAAAAAAAATAACTAATTATATAGTTTGATTGTAAATTACGAGAGGAATCTTTTGAGCCTAGTTAGTCTATGATCGGACAAAATTTATCAAATACAAACGAAACATGCTACAGTGTCCAGATTAAAAAATTTACGATCTAAACACGTCCCTGCATCAAAAGATGGACTGCACTGCCACTGCCACTGCGCAGGTAGAGCAGGTCGGGCCGGAGCTGTAGGATGCCTGTACTATGATGGATTCTCTGCCTCTCTGCAGCTTGTGTGGAAGACGCCGAAATGGAGTTTTCGCCTGTACTACCTGGCCTTGTTTAGATCATCTTTAAATTTCTAAGTTTTTTCATTTTTTTTTATCACATCAATTTTTGACACATGTATAAAGTATTAAATATAGGTAAAAAAAAACTAATTACATAGTTTGGTTGTAAATCATGAGATGGATCTTTGGAGCCTAGTTAATCTATGATCGAACAAAGTTTGTCAAATACAAACGAAACGTGCTACAATATCCAGGTTGAAAAATTTACAATCTTAACAAGGCCTCAGATTCAGAGGCAAACGAGGCAAATCGATGACCGTTTCATATGGTCGGCGTGTTCGGCTGCAGAAAGACGCAGCCTGCTACTGCTCGCCCTGAGCATTCGGGCTGTGTTTAGTTCGTGAAATAAAATTTTTGATGTCACATCGGATGTTTCGAGGATGTTGGAAGGGGTTTTCGGATACTAATAAAGAAAACTAATTACATAGCTCGTCTAGAAACTGCGAGACGAATTTATTAAGCCTAATTAATTCATCATTAACGCATGCTAGTTACTGTAGCACTTATGGCTAATCATGGACTAATTAGTCTTAAAACATTCGACTCTCAATTTCCAACAAAACTGTGCAATTAGTTTTTTTCGTCTATATTTAAGCTCCGTTCGCGTGCACTTAAACCCGGCTGGATCCGCTTATTTTTTCATCCGAAACAGTGTTTTTCTCTCACAAATTCCTCCAGCATTCTTCCAAACCATCCAGATTCCTCCAGAATTCAGAGAAGCGAACACGCCCTTAATACTCCATGCATGTGCCGCAAGATTCGATGTAATAGTTTGGGGTGAAAATTTTTGGGAACTAAACTAGGCCTCGGTTAACCGAAACAGATCGGTTCAATTTCTCGGTTCTTTATCAAATTCGGTTAGCATAAAACTGGAACCGATCGGTTAGCTAGGAAACTTGGAACCGAGGAAATTCGGTCTCGGTTAGTTCGGTTCGGTTTCGGTTAGAACCGAACTAACCGAGCCATACATTACATCAGTGAAACAGAAGGGAAGAAAAGGGGAAAAATGAAAACCGAGCCATACATTACATCAGCCATACAGTTCGGTTCTTTTGCTATTGAGCCAATATGTACAGATTCGGTTCTTCGGTTTTATTCGGTTAACCGAGGACTGGAACCAAATTACCCAACATTATTTCGGTTCATGAGAACTAGGAACCGAAATTTTCGGTTTCGGTTCCGGTTATTTCGGTTCAGTTCTCGGTTCTCAGTTATTTTTGCCCAGGGTTAGCTACTGCTGCGGTTTGATATAGTACAATTTGAGAGAGCTACAGCTGCCGATATTTCTCTATTTTCCAGGCAAATTGGCAGAAGAAATTTCGAGAGTTTTCCTGTAGAAGCTTTGGGAGAGTTCATTCTACTCCTGACGCTGAGGTGCTCTTTGAGAGAAATGATTTGTGGCTGAAATTAATTTTGTCGGATCCTCTGAGGGATTGTTTGGCAGCACTCACTTCTGCTCAATCGAACAACAAAAATTACACAGGTTCTAGCGAAATCAGACGAGAATCACTCCTCAGTTTACATTGAAAGACAGGGAGCTAAGAGTCCATTTGATAGAGATCCCAGAGTACCTTCTAAGCTAAATTTAGGACAAACCTTGCTAAATAGTTTTTTGATGAGAAGAGATTCAATGCAAGTTCTATGAAGTGATTCTCTTAAATGAACTATAAGGGTGAGAGCTATAAAAGAAATAACTTACTTATGCAGGTAGTTATTATCATAACGAATCATAGAAAATCAATTTCAATAAATGAATCATTTCTCCCGTAGAATCCCATAGAGAATCAGGAGCATGAGAAGCTCTACCAAAGAGGCCCTAAAAACCCCACTTCTTGTTGTTCCTGTTGTAAAACATACGGACTGTATCTTAGAAGGAAAGGAGAAGGAGAAATTCTAATCCTAGTCCATTTGTATATGGGCTCTTATCAAACTCGTAGGTCTTGGCAGGACTATATATACGTGGGAGTTCTGTTTTGTAATCATCAATATTGAGAGGAATAAAGAATAGTCTCCCTATTTCTTGTGTCTATGTGTTCTATTTTTATCTACTGTGTTGATCATGAGAGACGGAGAGAAAATGTCATAACCGCTAGCAACATGTTTTATAACAGTTCCCTATCAATCCCACCAAAATCACTCCCCATACTGCTGCGCTATCATAATTACTCCATTAGAGAATTAAGGAGATGAAGGTAAGAACTGTAGAGATAAGATCTACCAAATAGATCCTAAGATAAACATCATGTTCGCTTGGTCGTATTTGGTTTATAAGCTGTGGTTTATCAGCCAACGAATAGTATTTTTCTCTCACACCGAACCAGCCAACAGTACTTTCAGCAATGACTTATAAGCCAAACAAGCCAAAAGTTTTTGTGTGGAAAGTGATCCTCTATGATTAGTAAAGCAAGAGATGCTACTTTTTCAGCCTCTAGCCTTCTAGTTTATTGAGAGAAGAATTAATATTTAATCAATTTTATATACATAAATGTCTGATGTCTGATGAGCTCCTCCTAGCTAAACTCAGTATAGAAACTACCATGAAAGCTTTGCTGATCGGACGCCTTTGTAACAACTCTTACCAAGATGTTGGAGCAGGATACAAAATTGACCAAGGTATGGTATGAAACGAGCAAAAAAAAATGATACACTAGTATTGAAGGTTGTTAGTGTCTTGATCTGTATTCTAAATTTTATAATATTTGACCCTAGACAAAATTCCATAATGGCCCCGTTCGCTGGTCTGAAATTTAGCTGAAAAACACTGTTCCGGCTGGTTTGTTGTGAGAGAAAAATACTGTTCGGTTGGTTTGATGAACAGTAAATTGTGAGGGTATTCAGCCGGCCGGCTGGTTGGTTCCAGACCAGCGAACGGCCTCAATATCTCGTTCCTAAATACTTAAAAAGAATAGATATAAATCGCTTTTCAAGTAACTCTATTGTGACGAAACACTAGTTAAAGTCAAGGAGAACTAAAAATAATGTCAAGAATTACACTCAAGTGTAAAAAAGGTTAATTAAATCAATATTGTTAGCTCAAATCTTTACAACTACAAATCAAATATATATATAATTTCTTTTTCGCGACTGTGCTCCTATGTTAGAAAAAGAAGCCATCTACCCGACAACGCAGTGCTTTAAATTAGTTGGCCACTTGATTTATTTGCAGCCATCGGATATTCGGATGCCGATCAAATGTGTCGGTGTTTTTGGACCGGGGTCCTCAACCAACTAGTGAATTTGAACTACGTGCCCCTAATTCCGGATGGTGATGCAAAGAGACACAAGGTTTATACTGGTTCAGGCAATCGATGCCCTACGTCTAGTCTGAGAGATTGATCTTGTATTCCTTGCACCGAAGTGCTTGTAGTAGGGTG